TTGGCCTCGAACACGGCCTCCGACTCCACGTTCTCGATGCTGCTGCTGAGGCTGCTGCCGGGCCTGGGGGGCACCGTGGGGACCCGGGCTTTCTCGGCTAGGAGTGCGGGAGCCCCGGGCGAGGGCACGCGCTTTTCGGGGGCTCCCGGAGGTGGAGAGGCCACCCTGGCGAACACAGCGGCGTGGGGCTTGGGCTCTGAGGGCGACGCCGCGGGGCCCTGCGGGGGGTCCTGGGCGGTGCCTGACAGCTGGAGCATGATCTGGGCATAGGGCGTGAGAGACAGCGCCGGGGTTTGCAGGGCCATGGGGAACGGGGCAGGCTTGGAGGCTCGGGCTGGTTCTGGCTTGGACTCTGGGGCCTTGTCCTGGGCAGGCTGGGGTGAGGGGGGCTGCGGAGCATCACTGGGTGTGGTGGCAGAAGGTTCCGCAGACTTAGGGGCGCTGGGTTTGGGGGCGCTGGGCCGCGCAGGGCTAGATGGCTGGGCCTCACTGAGAGCAGACAGAGAAGGAGACTCCTGCAGCCGGCGGGCCCCGAGTCTGGCCACAGGGATCTCGAGGGGCGCGCCAGCGCGGCGGTGCCGGCCCCGGGGCTCCGCCTCACCCTGCGAGAAGCTGCTACTCTTTTGCAAACCCCGGGTCTCGGGCGGGGGCTGGTGGTGGGGCGCGGCCTCGCTGGAGGCAGCTCGAGCCATCCGGGGGTCCCGGGCACGGCCCCCCAGGCTCTCCAGCAGGGGGCCCCTGAGGCCGCTAACCTTGCCATCCTCAGGACCACCCCGCAGGAGCCTCTGGCGCAGGGCTTGAAGCCTCTGGGCGTACTCGCCCTCACCCAGGCCTCCCCGGGCCAGGCGGGTGGCCCCCGGGCTGGGGCTTCGGCGCTGCGGCAGCTCCACAGACGCCGCCTTGTGCAGGCCCCGGCCCGGCTCCCGCGGCCCGGCCCTGGGCAGGGCACTCTCGGCAGAGCTGCCCCTGCGGAGCTCTCCCCGCCGGGGGCTGGACCCGGCTGGGGACTCCTGGCCTGGGGAGGGGAGGGCCTGAGGGCTGGGAGCCTCCTGGTCCCGAGAGGGAGCCCTTCCCTGCTCTTGCCAGTCCATGGGGGTGGCAGCCCCAGCCTCTGGGGGCCCCAGGGCCTCGTCCTCAGTGGGAATGTCTGTGAGGGACACCCGGGAGCCAGAAAACTCCGGCTGCAGTGGGCGGGGCACTGATGGCAGCTCTTCCAGCTCTTCCTCTTCGGAATCCGAGGAGGACGAGAGCCCCCCGCTGGGGGGTGGCCTTCGGGGCATGGCCACCCACACCCGCTCTGGGGGGGCCCGCAGCAGCTCAGGGATGGGGCGCAGCACCAGGTGGCACTTGTAGCTGATCTGGGAGCGCTGCAGACAGGGTACGAGGTCAGCCCTGAGGGCCCCCGGGGCAGGATTGGCCCACCCAGTTCCAGCCCTGGAGAAGAAGGCCTAAGTGGCAAAGGGTCAGGGGCAGGGAACTGGGAATGTAGACAATAACAAGCAGAAAGACAGAGGAGAAAGGGTTGAGGCACACAACAGAGAAGGGGCAGGGTTGGAGAGAAGAAGGTGGAAAGGACAGGGCAGGGCCTGAGCCAAGCTCACCTGCCACCTCCGCCTGGAGAGAAACAGTTTTAGGTGATCGGTGCTCACTTCTGCGCCTTTTGTCTGCGTCTGCAAACCAAGGAAAGAGGGCCTGAGGGAAAGCTCTTTGTCAACCAAGACCCTCAAGAAATCAAGTCTAAAGGGGGTGGCAGTGAACTGAGCAGCACTGAGTCTAGGCTCCTGGGGGTCGCCTTCCCCTTGGGTCTGTCAGGGCAACTCCCACAGCCAAGGTGAACACCTGTGAACAAATACCCTGGGGGTGGGGGTGGGGGAGGGCAGAAAGCTCTTGGCTCTGAGAGGTGGGCTTCTGAGCTTACACCAGGGCTCAAATGCCCCGTCCTGGGCTCTGAGTCCTCTCTGTCTTCATGTAGGGCCAGCACCCCAGACATCCAGAGTCCAGACCAAAACAGATGCTTCTCTCAGCCACCCACCCAGACTTTCTCTTCTAGAGCTCGTCTCTGGTCTGAGAGAGGAGGCTCTTACTTCAAGGACTGATGCCAGGATGACCTCAGCCTCCAGGGGATCCAGCACAACCCTCAATGGACAGTTACTGAGGTGCTCCTTCTGGCATCATTTGCTGAAACTACCCTCCATGCCTGGCATTGTGTCCCAAGGCACTGAGGTTTGACGATGAATGAGAATGCTGTCCACACAGTGCTCAAAACTGCGGGGCAGAGCCAGCCAGACCGCCCCCAATCCCAGCATGTGGGACCAGTGCAGGACAGGGGAGGGCACGCAGAGGTGAGGAAGACCAGGGTCTGATCTCAGGTGCCAGAGAGAACCCCGATGAGGAGCCCTAGGATGGGGGAACTTAGACCTATACCTTGGAGTCCGTGATGCCCCCAACTTGATTACTGATTTGAGAGCCAGTTTCATTATCAACAAAATAAGAGTAATAAGACCTTCTTTTGTAGAGCTATTGTGAGGCTCATAGAGCACATGTACGCAACATGCCTAACATTTTCCCTTCCTCCACCCTTTATACCACCACTGAGCGGGACTAGACTCACTTTGAACCAAGGATGTTCCAGGGTCTCCTCTGCAGTAGGTCTCCTGCAAAGGAACGGGGAGTAAGAAGGGATGTACCATTCATTCATTCAGTCAGTAAATGTTTGAGAAAACAGGGCCCTGGGGAGTTGGGGCTTACACGTCTAAGGGCAGAGGCTTGGGGGGAGGAGGTGGATGACATGAGGGTGACCCTGTGGGCGGGGCTACCTAGGGTCTTGTACTCACAGCCGGTCCTGCACCAGCACTTTGATGAGGAAGCCCCGGGCCTCCCGGCTTAGGCTCAGGAACGTGGTTTCCTCAAAGGCCACATTGTAGTTTCGGATGTTCACCAATGTTGTCCGATCATTTTCCCCAACAAATGGGGAGATTCCTGTCAGACTGCAGGGATGGAGACGGCTGTGGTGAGGGTGGGCAGGGATGAAGTGGGATGCTGGTGGGGGCACAGGGCCCAGGACGGGTGGAGGCCCCGAGGTTGTGGGAATGGCAGAGGGCGGATGTGAGCAAGACACTAAGACTTGCAGACTCTTGCCTGTCCTGCCCCCTCCCCAGCCCCTGGATGGGCAGGGAGGCAGCACTGCCTCGGGGCCTGGTTGCCCATGCTTTACAGGACCTGTTCTGTCACCCCTCCAGTGTGTCCTCTCCATGAGGTGAAGAGTCTGCCAAGGGGATGTGCCACCCTGTGCCCCACCCCCTTCTAGTACACCTTCTGGACACTCAGGACCAAGGAGTTCCCTGCCTAAAGGGCACTGAGCCTGCCCTGGCCTCTGTCCGGTGTGCCCACCTCTTTTTTTTTTTTTTTTTTTGAGTTGGAGTCTCACTCGGTCGCCCAGACTGGAGTGCAGTGGCCGCTCCCGGCCACCGCAGCCTCGCCTGCTGGGCTCTGGCAATTCTTCCGCCTCAGCCTTCCAAGTAGCTGGAATTACAGGCATGCGCTACCATGCCCGGCTGATTTTTTGATTTATTGTAGAGATGAGGTCTCGCTGTCCGGGCGGGTCTCGAACCCGCGGGCTCAGGCAATCCACTCACCTCAGCCTCCCAAAGGTGTGGGATTACAGGCTGAGCCACCGAACCCGGCTGTGCCCACCTCTTACGATGGGGCATGGTGGGGGACAGAGCATAGACATGTAGCCCAGGGTGTCCAACTTCCACCTTCATGCACACAAGGCCTCTTGCAGTGTAGGGAGGAGCATGGGGTGGGAGGAGAAGGGGGTGGGCCTGTCAGGAGACCACTAGCAGATGGCAGAGGGGATCCTTACCAGAGGAAGGCAACGACACCCACAGGCCTGTGGGGAAAGCAGAGGAATGGTAAGAGGACAGCCCACCTCCTGCTGGGAGGGAGTTGTTCTCTGCTACTGCTCAACTGAGTGAGACATGTCCTTTCTGGGAACACTCCCATGGACAATGGGCACACCCAAAGGTCCAGACTCGCCTGGAGGAGAAAGCCCAGAGAAATCTAGGCACCAATGGAATCATACCTGGACCAATGGGACCATACCTGCCTCACTGGACAGGCATAGTGACTGCTGAGGGGAAGATGCAGTCCCCAGGGGTGTCAAGGAGCCTAGGACCGACAGGGCTGAAGCCCAGAGAGAATTGGTCAGCCCTGACTGGGGCAGGGAGTAACATGGGCAGGAAACCCTGCAAGTAACACCACCAGCCAACCGTCAGAGAAGGAATCCAAGCCCAGTGAAGCTCCTCTCTGCCAGTGAGTCAGTCTCCAGCATAGCACCAAGGACAGGTGCCCTAGCCCGCCCAGCAGCCCAGCATGCCAGCATTACCAGATGTCAGTGACTCCAGACACAGGGGTCTGGTTGACAATTTCGGGTGCCACGAACTCAGGTGTGCCATATTGGCAGTACTGGGGCTCTCCTGGAGTCAGCTCCTGGGCATTCCCAAAGTCACAGATTCGCACCTGCTCTTCGCCCCCTGCACCATCCCATATCAGCAGGTTCTCAGGCTGAAAGACACACAGCAAGGTGTGGACACTGAACCAAGAGGGGAGGACACCCACTTCCTGGCCCCCACAGTGGCTGTCTGCTCTCCACTCCCCACCTCACCTTGACATCGAGGTGCAGCACTTGACTCTGGTGCAGGTAGCATATTCCCTCCAGCACCTGCTGCATATAGACCCGGGTCTGTGAAAACAGGGGGCCCAGAGTCCGTGGGAGTAGGGTGTGGTACTATGTTTGATCACCTCTGGGGTTGTAGCAAGAGGTCAGGCCATGCCTGGGTAGTGGCCTTCAGACGGCTCATGGAGGACATTGAAACACAGGTGTGGGGGTTATCACAATCCAAAGTTACCATGTGCACAGGTTGGGCACAGCATAGTTATGGAGGAGGAGCCATTTCCATTGTAATAACTAGAATTGTGTGCAGTGTACAACTTGTACAGCCCTACATGGCAGGACTGCAGTGAGATCAATAAAATCTAGGTGGGGCTCCTTCTGGAGAAACATTTGGGAGATGTTTATGTGAGGAAGGTTGGGAAACAACAGTTGGGGCTGGGGTGGGTTTACTGAGATTTTAGAGAGAACGCTGCGAGTCCCAAATAGTTGGGGGGTCTAGTCTCAAGGAGTGGGGGCTCTGCTGCCTATCATTGCTCTCCACCCCCACCCCTGCTTCCTCATGGGCACAGATCCTTTCATCGATTCTCAGAACTCAGGTGGGTGAAAGCTGGTGCCCAGCCTGGCCCCAGCCACCCACTGCCCTCACCTCAGACTCACACACGGTGGGTTTCCTGGCCATTCTCTCCAGCAGCTCCTCTGTGCAGCTAGGTTCTGGATCAAGGAGAATAGTGCCCAGTGCTGACTGCCAGAGCCTGGGGGAGGGTCCAGCTCAGTACAGGATTCTCCGTCCCCTTACAGCACAGCTGATGCCAGTCAGAGACTGCGTCTTCACCCATCTCCTCCCTCCTACCCCCATCCCCACCCCTGTCATCTGGGTGCACGGTGGGACAGCCCCGCCTGAACTGCCACTCGCTGTGGATCTCAGGCAAGTAACTTCACCTCTCCGAGTCTAGGTCTTCCAGAAGTAAAATGGGGATAACATCTCCTTTCCTGCCTATCCTGCTCAGTACTTGTAGAGATCAAATTAGAGTAGAATTGTGTTGACCGTGGATGGAACTTCTCAACTCTATTTGAGAATGACCCAGAAGGTACATGACATGGAATAATTTGTCATTTTGCTGAGGTCTGAATTCAAACAGTGCAGACAGGCAGCTCATGCGCAGGTCACGGTCACCCTGCTACTGGGAGTGATGAGCCGACCACCCAGCATCCTTGCTTCGGGGTGACTTGCTTAAAGACAGCTTTCACAAAAGGATAAAACCTGTTCTTTGTGAAAACAGCCTCCCAAATAAAGCCAAGTATAGATGCTTGATCTGGAATGGTGTTAGATGGGTCATCAAGAAAGGGAGCAGGACAGAGACACTTCAAGTGTGTAGATAACCTGTCCTGCATTTCAGAATGAAAAGCATAAGCTATTTGCTAGCTCTGTGAACTCAGGCAAGTTATGTAACCTCTCCATGCCTGCTTCATTGTCTGTAAAATGGGGATAATAAAATTATATGAGGTAGGTATGTACAATAATTAAATAGGTTAATATTTGTAAAAGAGAGTTTGTTTCTTTTTTTCTCTCTCTTTCTTTTTATTATTATTATTATTTTGAGACAGGGTCTCTCTCTGCTACCCAGGCTGGAGTGCAGTGATATGATCATAGTTCATTGCAGCCTCAAACTCCTGGGTTCCAGTGATCCACCCACCTCAGCCTCCCATGTAGCTGGGACTATAGGCTTGCACCAATGAATAGGCTGTCTATAAAACTCTTAAAACATTGGCAGGCACACATTGTAAGTTCAAGCTAAAAAATGGGCTAAAAAACTGGTTTCTGAAGAAGTCTCTAGATTTATCCCTTCCAATTGTCAACAAAACCACCCTGTAAACCGTAAAACATGTTACTCATTGGCTGCCACAAGGACCAGTCATTCAGACATGAGCCCCCCACCCCTCAGCCTGTCCCAGGATACAGCTCCGTGACAATGACCAGCCCCCGGCGCCTCTCGAAGGCCTCATGGAAGTAGAGGACACAGTCGTGCTGGAGGCGGGCCAGCAGCCGAGCTTCTCGCCGTGCCGATGCCTTTGGTTTGGCTTGGCTGGGGATGAACTTGGCTGCAAATTCCAGGCCAGAGCTTCGCTCCACCACGCGCCGCAGGTAGGAAAAGGCACCCCTGGGTGACACAGTGACGGGGGAAGAACTCAACCATTGCTGTAGCCCTGGTTCAACACCCCCTCCTAGCCCTCAGACCCACAGCCTCTCTTGGCCCCTGACACCAGCTCTGCTCCTAGCCCCACACCTGCCAATCTCCTGGTGGATGTCATAGAAGTCGCTGAGTCTTCTTCCTCGATGCTCCTCGTCTTCCCTGACCCCCTCAACCTCCATAGCTGTCTGAGCTAGGGCAGAGATGTCCTGGTGTTAGGTGGGAGGGCAAGAAAGGGAGCAGGACAGAGACTGGGACAGGCAGGCAGATGAAGGAGGCAGGAAAGAGGCAAGAATGTCGGGGACACTAGCTGGGGGTGCTGGGAGCCCCGGGCCAGGTGCTTCTAGGGCAGGGCCGGGCAGGGCTGACATCAGACTCCTGGGTGGGCGCTCTGCCCTACTCCCCTTGAAGTCCAGCCCACCTGAATGCACAGCCAGCTCTGCTTTGCAGGAGACCTCGCCCGCCAGGTTCCGGGCAGTGCAGGTGTAGACGCCTCCATCCTGGGTCCCCGTGCTGAGCACTACCAGGGAGCACTCGTTCTCCTCGTACACAAAGCTCACATGGCTGCTCTCGGTCAGCAGCACCTCGTCCTGCAGAGTTGGGTGTCACTTCCCACCTGGGCCTGGCCTCACCTCCACCTGGGACCCAGCTTTACCCCCAAGCCAGAGACCTGATTTTATCTCTACCTTAGGACCAGGAGCTGCTCTATCAGGCCTCACCCTGTATCTCCCCCCACCCTGGGGGCAGCTGCATCTCCACCCCAGAGGCTTTGCTCCCCCAGGACCCAGAATCCTCCCTTATCTCCCACCGATAGCCAGCCCTGGGATCCCATTTCCTCCTGCTAACCACACCTCTGCCCAGGCTCCCTGCTCCTAAGGCCTCCCAGGACCCCTCATGCCCCCAGAAAACCCTCCTTCCTTCCCCCAGATTCCTGGCCAGCCAGGCTAGGACTCCTGCTGTGGCCTGCAGCACTCTCTGACCTTGTACCACATGATGTCCGGCAGTGGTTTTCCCTCAACCACCACAGCAAAGCGAGCGGTTTCCCCGGCCCCCACCTCCACATCCTCCATGATGGACTCAAACCGAGGGGCCTCTGGAACATACAAAGACAGGAGTGGGGAAGGGAGGGGG